TTCCGCCATGTCGGTTCTCCGCCATCGTCGTAAGCACGATGGCCGACATCGAAGTAAAAGAATGCGATTAAGCGATGAGCTTCCGCGAGACTCACTTCGGACTCATTTATAATTTGCGAGCGGAATACATTCGAGTTTTGATTACGGCCAAACGCGGTCGGATGATCCGAAGGGAGTGACTGAAATTTAATTAATTAGTCGTCATACATATAATATACGAATGACTTAATAAACTGATGAAATTAGTTATTAATGAAACTTCGATTCAATTTATTACACGAACGAAACATCTGATACACCCATACACAGGAGAAAATGTTCAGTAGTCAGCACTCTAACTGTTTTGCACTCTCCCGCGAAGTGTCAGTATCAAGGTGCATGGCGTTTTAAGAGAAAACGCATGACTAAATAATAAATGATAATCAGTAAATAAATAAATCAATCAATCAATCAATCAATCAATCAATTAAATAAATAAATCAATCAATCAATTAATAAATTCCCGCACACCTTGATGTTTAAAGAGATCCGAGTAAGGCTACTGGCTATTTTCCCCTCTCTCTCTATTCTATGTGGTCAGAGAGAAATTTATATAATTTCAAGTTAATTGACTGAAAGTTGTTGTTGTATATTTCTTTCACTAGAATAATCTGTAAATCCGATTACTTTAGTCAACGAAATTTCCAAACGATTAAAATCTTTTTTTCGCTTAAAGTAATCAGTAAATCAACAATCAGAATAAATTGTCATACATCATCACGAGTAATGTAATCGATTGATGAGATTAATTATTAATCAGTGTATGATCAATTAAGTCGAGGCTTATTGATTAATAATTAATTTCATCAGTTGATCAAGTTACTCGTAGTGACTTGATCATTGATTCGCCGATTATTCAGTCAACTAACATTTTCATCGATCAATGCCTACGATACTGACTGAAATGACGTAAGCAGAAATAGTTTATTATTATCAAAATTAATTATTATCGTTATTACAAAAATTAATGCGAAATAACGTGACAAGAAATACACCTCTCGGCACAGGCAATGCGAGCGACTTGATTTAGGTATTATTATTCCAAGGAATAATCACGGAATCGCGAAATCCCCTTTTTGTAATGTGCGCGCGCGATTGACAGAGCCAACGATAGAACGCGCGACTTCGTTCCGTAAGGGAAGTTTTCGAGAGTCCTTAAGTGAGGACACGTGTTGCCGGAACGCCAGGTCCTCTCGTGGAGGACTGAGTGGAGCTTAGAAAAAGTGCGAACACGCTTCTGCCTTATACCAGCTTTCAAAGACCGCGCCGTGTAAGACCCGGAGAAATCGGATTGCGCCATTCAATTCTTGTGCGCGACGCTTTATAAATCATTTTACGAACAAGTCTGCGAAAATGACGCGACCGATCCCCTTCCGCCCGTAGGGACAGCGTGTGTTTGCGCGAAATTTCACGCGGCAAGAAAAACAAGAAAGGCGCAGGATCGTCGTGGTGAAAAATCGACGATAATAAGGAATAACGGCGGTTAAGCAGAAGGAAAGCGACAGTCACAGATAGCGTATAACAAATCAAAATGCGATGATTCCGAGTTTCAACTTTGCAAGTCGTACTGTTGTACAGAAAGAAGAATCGTTTCTTGCGAAGAATCGTAAATGTCCGGCCATCTCTGGATTTTTAGATTCTTAGATTGCAGGTAGATAATCGTTGAATTTATACTTGTATGTATTGTAAGATTGACAGTCGTACAAGTAATTGTAATTATATAATAGCCAAGTGTGATACCAAATATATATAATTTTCAATCCAACACATATAACCACACAAAGTGGAAAGTCGTACACTATCTAGAGAATAGCCAGGCATTTATAACTCTTTTCGCAAGCTCAGTTGCAAAACAGTTTACATGCATTTTTTTCCAATAAAGTTGCAGCGCTTCGTCACAGTTGTATAAGAATGATTTCAATTTACAAAATTATGATTTTTTAATTTTTGTTCTTTTGTCCATAAGTCCATAAGTCTTTCTATATAAAAAAAGATTTATGGGCAAGTTTTATGACTGCCTAAAATTAATTAAAAAATAGTTTTTATTTCCTACTAGTTTTTGGCCATTTTTAAGCGTTAAATTTAGCAATGAGTATCCTCGAAGAGAAGAAAGTCGGCTATGCTTAAGGGGATGCACTCGCGGGATGCCGGACATGAAAACTTTACCGACATAACATTGACTTTTTTTTGCAAAGTTTACGTCTTGTTGGTTGCACAGAATTACAAACGTTTTTACACAACAAAAGTGCATGTAAAAATTAATTGGAGTATTGCTTAATATGTGACGAAAACGAAAAAAATATGTTTAAATTTAAATTTTGAGCTATTAGTTAGTGCAATATTTGTTTAATACAAACATTCTGCAGGTTGTACATACCGAAACTGTGGATACTCTAATTAGGAAAATTTCATTACTATATTTTCAGAATTTAGTTTCGATGCCAAAAAAGATACGAAAAGTTTGCAGAAAAGTTTATGATTACATGCGGTTATGTTTTTCGACAACTATGATAAAGTAGAGCGAAAAATTAGTTCATGGATATTTTTGGAGATGGCACCATACTTTTATTATTCGAGATTAATATTTATTATTATATAGTTGCTTTCCTATGCGTAATAGCAATAATTAAATAATAATCGAATAAATTAAATAATTACCGAATAAAGAAGTAATAATAGTTGAATATTAAATGGTAGTGATAATAATATCTGCTCGATAATCGTGTGATAATATTCGCGAGTGGATAATAAAGAAATAATGATGATTGAATAATAACAATACCTGGGTAACGGCTCTAACAAAAACTCTAAGATCAACAAAGGCTAGATAAACCGACCGTCGTAACGTCTCGCTCGGGTCGTTGACTGAGTGGCACTGGGGGGAGGGGGGGGGGGGGAAACC